TTACCTTTTATATGACACCAATATTGCATATATAAAAATCTAAAATAATATTTATTGTTTTGTATAGTAAAATTGGGTTAATAATTCTATTTATTAATAAAAAATCTATTCTCTCCTACTAAAACATTTGATTCATTTATGTTGACTCGTTCATAATTTTCTATTGGTCCAAAATAGGATGCTCGTAGGCTTTTAGAAAAACTACGTACAACACTCAAGTAGGAAATCAGGAAAGCAATATGAAAATGGAAGGTGCTAAAGAGGTTTAGTAGCCAAGAATAACTTATCGGAATTGCTTCCCTAATCTGAATTACAACCCGCCTTTTATAGGTGTATACAAATCGTAACCGCTGCCGATAATAATGACTAATTAATTACAACATGAAAACGGAATTAAATACATAATTAACAGCGCATTAATGGCTTGACCGTTCCTTTTCCGGGCTGGGAGGTCAGTCGGACTGGCAGGCTCCCCATTGGGCTGGCAGGCAAGCTCCGGGTTGTGGACTTGGATCCACGGGTTCAAGTTCAGGGCTTAGGCTGATTAGGCTCTGAGCCTAGTTCCATAACTCCATCACGAGTCTCCCACTCTCTTAGTCGAGTAGTAGACTCGGCTAAGAGGGAGACAGGGAGTAGTCCAAGTCATTTGCTCTTCTCCGAGACTAGAAGATCTCCGCCCTTGTCCATGTTGGGGAGATGCCTCAACCCGTAGGCCCAACACACGAACTAAGGGTTTCGAATGGAGGGAAAATCCAATGGGAAAAAATCCTAATGAAAGGAAAAAATAGTACATCTGATGCCCCCAAGATGAAGAAAGATGTGAGATCCTCAGCCTTTATTGCAATGGTCATCATCTGCGAATAGGATGGCTAGAACTGTTCTTCTCGTCGGGCTCAGACTCTTCAGGTTCGTCATTTGCTTCCTTGAAGACAGTAAGACCCTCAGTCCCCCACTTCATTCAGTTGTACCTACACATAAAAGAAACTAGTGTAGAATAGAGAATCTGGCCTGGCGTCGAACCACGACTCAGGGTGTAAGTGAGTCGGACTCACTACTTGAAAAGAGTGACATCAAGTTCCCATCAGTCAGCGAACTCTTACTACCGTCGTATGAACTCAGGGCCGTTCTCCATGAGCCGCTGGGCCATTCCGCGCTTGAGCAGCCAATCCGGCCCGATTCTTCCGATCATCTAGATCCGGAATTCCAAAACATTATTGTTTTCCAGTCCATTTTTCCTGGATTTTTTTTGTGTTTGCTACCAAAGCGATGTGAGAGACTAATAGAAACTCTCAATGAAAGCACCAATGTTGGTCCAACGTAGGACGCTCGTAGGCTTTTAGGAAAGCTATGTACGACACTCAAGCAGGAAATCACGAAAGCAATATGAAAATGGACGGTGCTAAAGAGGTTTAGTTGCCAAGAATAGCTTATCGAAATTGATTCCCTAATATGAATTACAACCCGCCTTTTATAGGTGTATACAAATCGTAACCGCTACCGATAATAATGACTAATTAATTACAACATTAATACGGAATTAAATACATAAATAACAGCGCATTAATGGTTTGACCGTTACTTTTCCAGGCTGGGAGGTCGGTCGGACTGGCAGGCTCTCCGTTGGGCTGGCAGGTAGGCTCTAGGTTGTGGACTTGGATCCACGGGTTCAAGTTCGGGGCTTGGGCTGATTAGGCTCTGGGTCTAGTCCCATAACTCCATCAGAGGATAAAAAAAATTTTTTGAAAGTGCTATGAGTTTTTTCGTAATCCAATTTTTATTATAAATGTATCAAATTCATAACTTTTTATAATCTTTTATATGGCACTAGTATTGCATATGTAAAAGAACAAATTACTATTTTTATATAATAAAATTGAATTATAAATGAATGATGTATCAATTTGTTATTGATTAATAAAAATTATGTTTTCACTACTACTAAATCATTTCATTAATCCAAGTTTATTTGGTGTGTCATTGCTATTCATTTTAATCAAGCCAACTCATTTTGAGAAGGGATGAGAAATACTCTCTTTTTTAAGTAGTATACATGTTTTGTACTCCATTTTTTTACAAAACATATATCAAAAATAAAAATATTTTATGAACTCTCAAATGACAAGAATATTACATATATATAATTTAAAAATTTATTGTAAAAATTGAGTTATATATCAATGATATATCAAATTTATAGTAAAATTCGAGTTGTAAATAGGCAATATGGGAAGTGCACATTTACACAATAGTAGTGACACACGTAAGGAATCCGATTTTCATTAAATATTTAAATATATTGTTTTATTTAGCAAAACAGAGTTCCAAACTGCTCACATGTTACTCTATTATTGGTTAACAATAATTCTATTATCATTATTATGAACACATTTAATTAGTTCCAAACAAAAAGAAGATGGAACAATTATAATGGAAAAGGGAGGAAAAAAAAGTAGGAGGAAACACGTTTAAATAACTAACTTGACATTATGTAGACTCCACACACATTAAAATATTTAATAAGTTCGTAACAGAGATGGAACGACTAATGAAAAAGTCTAGAGAAAAAGTAGGAGAAAAAACGTAAAAGACACATCCTTAGAAGCTATTCTCTTACTCTCATTCTTATTTTTACTTGTATTACTTATTCTTATTTTATTCATATCCCATTTGACAAAAAACTTAACTCACATTAGATCGAAACTTTCAAATCAGATCGCATTAAATCAAAAAAGTTCACATCATACCAAATTCTGATCAGAAACATTCAGATCAGGCAAGAAACAAGCAAATCAAATCAGAACGGATCAAACATAATTTACAGTTATGATTACCATTATTATACGTTATCAACACCATTATAGCATGTAGTATTACTATAAGTTAATTATAATAGTAATACTACATGTTAAAATGGTATGGACAACGCTTAATATAATGGTAATCGTAATTATAAATATAAGGATGATTATAACAAACATATAATGATACTATAATTTAGTGCAGGTTATTATTGTAATTATTATTATATTTATACTTATAGTTATAATGATAATCATAACTATACTTATAATTATAGTTATGATGATAATAATAACTTAATAATACAAATACACTCAATCAAATAAGAAATATTACATCAGATCAGAATGATTTAGATCAAAATCTGAAACACTCATATCAGATAAAAAAAGATTCAGACAAGAAATATTTATATCAAATCAAATCAGATCAAATCAGAAAAATTCAGATCGGAAGATATCTTAAAAACTTAAATTCAGAGCATAAATAATTATATAAGTGAATAAAATAACTTCTTAATATCAACCACATTAATGAAGTACAATTCTCGGAATAAATATCATATCAATTCAGTTTCCAAAAAAATTGTACATCAAATTCTTTAATTAATAAGACTCTAATACACGTAAGAGAACTTTAATCATACAAAATTAATCTTACATATTTAATTGAGTGAGGCTCTAATGTGCGACCAATTTTTTTAAATAATGATACTGTAGTGGGAGAACTACCAAATAAGCCCTCGAACTTTCATAAAAAGTGCAAATAAACCCTTTTATAGGAGGCTCTGTCCGACCGTCGCCATTTGGGATGGTTTACGGTGGAATTTTTTGATGCATTTTTTTGAGAATCTTCTTTATTAAGTCTAGTTTACTCACCCCAAATTTAAGCTAAAAATTCAATAGGGAAGGCAGTCAAATCAATTTTTGAAGATAACTGCGCAGTTAGACAGCTAAGTATATTTTAGAAAATCATTTGACTGCCTTCTAAATAGGGGTGGATTCCGGTCGGGCCGGGTCCGGGTCAGACCTAGGCCCGTGCGGGCCGGGTTCGGGTCGGACCTAGGCCCGTGCGGGCCGGCGGTTCTGAATAGGTGGACCCGGGACCAACCCGAGTAGCCATCGAGTCCGGGCTGGGCCTCGGGCTTGGTTAATTTTTTTTTTTACTTACCTACCTATCCCTGACCCCCCCCCCAAACCCCCCAAACCCCCCAAACCCCTCCTAAACATCAAGCCCAACCCGGGTGGAGCCCAAAAATGAAGAAAAAAAAAATCAAATTGGCCTGAACCAAGCCTGAGCCCGACCGGGCGGGGCCTCCTTTTTACCAACCCGAGCCCGCCCTGCTCAGCCTAAATAACCGGGCCTTAGACCGGTTTTGGGCTCGAAGAACCAGGCCGAGCCGGTCCCGCACAGTAGCGGGCCGGGCCGGTTCCCGAGACGAGTGGCCCGAACCGAGTCCACCAATACTTCTAGATTGAATTTTTAGTTGAAACTTGATATGGGTAAACTAGACTTAATGAAGATGCTAAAAAATTTTAATAAAAAAATTTCACCGGAAACCACCCCAAATGGCGATAGCCGAACAAAGCTTCCTGTAAAAGGACTTATTTGCACTTTTTATGAAAGTTCGAGGGCTTATTTGATAGTTCTCCCTACTTTAGTTCACGCGAATGAGACTCGAATCGTACAATACCAATAAAACATGTGACTATCGAAAATAATGTAAATTCCAAATACTCCTAATTCCAATTCAACACTTCTTCTTATCATCCGTCATCATATAATCAACAATATAAATAACTAATGACTATTACTCCATCCACCCCATTAGAAGGTTCCCACTTTACTTTTTTGGACTTACCATTAGAAGGTTCTCATTTCCATTTTAGGAAACAATTAAGATGTTTTTACTTAGACTTTAATTTGCTGGTCTGATCTAGTCTGATCTGAACTGATATGGTCTGGTTTCTTTGTATTTTTATAACTTATCCAAGTCTGATCTGGTCTGAACTGATCTAGGAGGAATCACAGTCCAAGTAAAAACATCCTTAATAATCTTAAGTGACAAATTAATTATTAAATATTAAAAATAATAGATTTATAATATCTTATCAATACTAACTACATTATTGTATATACCTATTAAACTTATTTCTTAAAATATACTCAAAGTACTTTATTTAATTATTGCCTAAATAACTACGCCGTTTTGCTATGGGAACCTTCCAACTGGATGGAGATAGTACAACAATTAGCACATAAACCACATTATAACCACAAAAGATAGTAATTCCTCACCCATCTTTAATGATGGTGGTTAGTTCATAAAATGAATGACTTTTCAAAAGTAAAAGCGAACACAGACATTCCATGTTACTAGTTCCATAGCTTCCTAGAGTATGAAGTATTTTACCTAACTGTCCTTCAAAGGCACGGCAAAGTCAGTTTAAGATGGTTTCATAAGGAATCATTTTAGAACTTCAAACACCCTTGCACACTCTATTAAGATCGGAGGAGTAACTCTCCTTATTTCCTACTGCACTCACTGCCTTTAAGTTTTATTAAGAGGCAGTCATTGAGTTATGAATGGTAGGAATGGTAGGAAGCTCCGCTTTCCCCAATACATTAAAAATAGCAGAAGTAATAAGGAATTTGTAATTTACAATAAACATCTAATTGCACATTATGAAGGGTTAAGATGCTGACAATTTCAGGTTCCAAGCCTTGTTTACTTAGTGGGATTCTGCTTCGGCATAGCCTGCCAAAGTTCGCTTAAGAAATCTCTTTGCAGCCCAGCAGAAGACCCGAAGCCTGCAGCATGCATCTAACAGGCAGAAAAAATCAAATGTAAGGAAATGTAAACATCACTTCTTAGTAACTGGTGTTTATCAAATTCTGTGTTGATAAGCTATGTTTAATAAACATATGTTTACTTCGTAATGATGTTGGGCTTAATAACACAAATCTGTGTTTACTTCATGAATTAAATATGCCTTAAGTTTAGAATGATTAACAAGACTTTCTTCCTTTTCCCAAACAAAACCCTTCTTATCGCACGCATAACCACTTCTAAGGAGAAAAAGTTGAAGAAATTAAACATTGTTTCAAACTGAATAAGTTTATGTCCAAAAAAAACTTTTCTTATTGCACGCATAGCCACTTCTAAGAAAAGAAAGTTGAAGAAATTAAAAATTGTTTCAAACTGAATAAGTTTATGTTCATTACTCAGTAATAAATTTTGTTGGAGTAATATTTTTTTTTTCTATTACATAATTACTAAGAAATCTAAATATATGTTAAAAAAATTAGGAGGATTTATCATGTTTCATTCCATTGTAAAATTAAACATAAGTAAGAGACTTTTTACAACATTTTCTATCATTTCCCTAGCGTTTCCTGGTATCCAAAAGTAGCCTCATATTTGTGTGTAAAAGAACTTCTGCTTCGACGTAAAACAGATTAATGTTTCGTATGTTGTGTCAAACATCATACGTAGCATTATGTATTGAACAAATTATTTTCCTTATAAAACATTCTACCTGGAAACACATTTTCCACAAGTTATTTTTCTGGATACAAATGGAGCCTTATTATTATTGTAATTATTAACATTATTATTACTCTTCTCCTCTGTTTCTATTGCTCTCCCTTTTGTTTGAGGAAGCCAATCTAGGGTGTGGGGGTGTAGGAGATCATACCTGATGGGGAAGCCTCCAAGGTGATGTGTTTTTTCTGGTGTACAAGACTGGCTTTTCTGAGAAAACCATTTAAAATTTTGTAATCATGTGGTGATTAAAGAATCACAGCAAAACTGGTAAAAAGTAAATAAACAAAAATCAAAGCACAACAGCAGTCCTCTATGGCTTCCTTTGTTTGCCAGAATACTTTCCAAGAAAATACTCTTGTGCTTAGCATATGACCATTCCTAATGAAAAATATTTACCTAGATTCTTTAATATTTTGAAGAAAATGTTGAACATTTTTCTATAAAACGGAAACGCATTTTCCCGACATTTTTCTATTTTGAGAGTCAAACATTGAAGTATTGAACTATACATAGAAGGATTAAATTTCCAGGAACTGTATTTCCACAGAAAACATTTACTAAAAACAAACTATATTCCTGGAAACAAATGGAGCCTAAATATAATGCATTTGCAGGAGATATAATTTCAAGTTTTCAACCCACAGAAAGTTAGCATATACTCCAGTTGAACAAGAAGTAGACTTTCTTCTTCAACTCACCAGGTGAACCTTCAGGTAAGCTATTATACAAACTCATGGCAGCCACCCAGCCTGTATAAAGCATGATAAATAATGACAATTATTATTATATTTATGTATTAATAAATCTATAGCATAGTTTCCTCTGTTTTCATTATTTGTACTCTTGTTTCAATCATTCATTCATCATTCATCCTTACCCAAGTGCTGCAAAGGCTCCCACCTACAGTGGGCTAAGGGGGGTCAGATGTAAGCAGGGGTATTACCCCTGTACTAAAGCACAGAGAGACTGTTTCCGAATAACCCATAGTGAAAATCGCGCCAAAAAATGCTTGCTTCACAATAAAGAAGTGCAGACGGTTAAGTGAGTCATTTTGCTTTATTCCATCATATACTCAAGCGAAAAAATAGTGAATCTTTGCCTCCATTACAAATGATGGAAAAACTCTCGTTTCAATCATCAATAGAAAAATTCCTTTCCAAAAAAAATCTGTAGTATAGTGTACCAATAAGCAATTATAATTACTTCCTATGTCCCAAAAATAGAGGGAAATTTATTCTTATTTAATGAGATTAAATAAAAAGGGATATGCTTTCAAAATTGTGCTCCATTTAAATGGGTCTCATAGTGTCAAGTCGTATAATTTTAAAAGATTAAAAAGGTGAAATGATTAATTGGATAACCACATTGATATTTAAATTAGGAAAAAACACTTTTTGGGCAAGACTAACCATAAAAAAATATTAAAGACAAAAACATGGCGGCAGATGCAATATAAACAACCCATTCATGGCTGTCAACCAGCCTGTATGAAAATGACAATTGAAAGTTGTATTTATTATAGACTAATGATGGAGTAGGAAAACAGATAGAGGGAAACTTAGGGAAATGACATGCTTTAACCAGAATACCCTTGAGGTGGGTGTCTTTGATTACTCTTATTTGTATGCCTATTCTGATTTCACAACAATGAAGCACAGTTAGTTAGAAAACTATCCTTTTTCAACATCACAAATCGACAAACAACATAAATGGACCAGACAAGCACGCTTCAGGAAATTGTTTAAAATTTAATAGGTGAAGTGCAACATTATATATGGCACTGCTTCTATATTTTGGCATAAGACGTATAATAACATTATATATGTACATTCTTGTAAATATAATTCAGTAGCAATGACTGCAAGGAGTGGTTCGAGGACAGTCTAAGTATCAGAAATAGCTGGCTTGCAAGGATTGATTTTTAAAATTGTAAGAAGCTCTAAATAGATGGTTATGAATTTATCACCGCGTAGTTCAGTATCCATGCTATTTCCATCATTTGCAGTGGAGCAAAAGATTCACTATATTTTAGCTTGGGAATATAGAGTAAAGCAAAATGGCTCACTAAACGGTCTACGCTTCTTTGTTATATAGCAGCAGTTAGTCCATGCAATTTTCGACGCAATTTTCACCACAGGTCATCCGGAAACAGTCTCTTTGTGCTAGCTTTAGTACAAGGATAAGGCTGCGTACATCCAACCCCCCTTACTCCATCGTAGGTGAGAGCCTTTGCGGCACCGGGGTAATGATGATGATGTAGTTCAGTATTCATGCTAAGACTTAAGATTCACTCCATTTGTGATTGAGGTTTTGTCCATGACGTAAAATGGTTTATTAGTATATGTAACTAAAAACAGCACACATTCAATGGAGATATACTTTTTCATAAAAGTAATTGAGGTCGAGCACCTCAAAAGTGCTTTGAATCTGCAAGAAGATGAGTTAAACTGAGAAATGAAACTCAAAAGATAAAATAGTGAATGCAATAAAAATATGAATATCCCAATACTGGTTTAAAGTTTAAACAATAAATATAGTAAGTGTACACTTACGATCATTCAATAACTGAACGACTTCACTGTTGCAACACCCATTTAATGATATCAAATTTAAGGCTGCTCCACCGGAACGACGGTCTTCATTAGTGTGGTAGTTGCCACCTGTATCCCCATGATGATCTATACTGGGCATGGTTCTTAGTATGCTGTTTTGGTTCTTCTCTCCATCACTAGCATAACTATTTGCTCTTTCAAGTCGATCTGCAAAACCAAATTACTATATCTGATCAGGCACACCAGTTTATATGAATAAAATCTTCTTGTTTAAGAGTGATTACCTTTGAAAATAAATAATTAAGAGAAATAGGGAATGATACGTAAACTGCTCATCTTGTTTCCAATGCAGCACATAGTTTTACCAGTAAGTGCTTATCTAGTTTCCATTACAGCACATAGAATTATCAGGAGGAATGGTAGGGAATTTATGAGCTTCTAACTTCAATAGTTCTCACATCCTTGTCAAGCCTAGCGCTATGATAAAGATTAATGCTGGGGGCATTGAATGTCATCATTCCAGGGAGACATTTCTATGTGGCCAGTACTGTTTTTTTTAAACAAAAATACAGTAGACATAACAGTGACCAATAAGCAATAGCTGATACACAATCCAAACATTGAACTCAAAATATCATTACAATGAGTGGAAGATCCTTTCCACATCACCAACCCCTAGTAACATTGCATAGACCTTACCAAATTTTATTCACTTAAGTAATAATAAAAGACATGATCAAACCTTCAAATTTAAGATCCGAACAATTGTCACACAATAAGGTATGATGTGTAATCATGTAAGATTTCAACCAAAGCATAATACTGTGCGTATAGAGAGGGTTAGAGAATGGTTCATTGAATTGTAAAATAGCTCCAAATTCACTCCTCAAGTCAATAAGTGAGAGTGACTCCACACCACCACCTGAAGGGTATTCTTGCAAATAACATCTTTATCTTGGACTACTCCCTAACCTGCTCCTTAGCCATATCATTACTCTTGTATACTGACGTATTCAGGTTTTACAAACTCCAGTTTATTGTTTACTTGCTCTAAAACTTGTCTAAATTCTAAAATGGCCCATGGGCTCTAGCCGAGGCAATATCCTAAATAAGAAGCCCATGCTGGAAAGTAATAGGTCGTAAAGAATGTCAATGAAGCAATGATCTTTACTTCATGAGACACATAGAAAAGTTAAAAAGTATTCAGCTTGATAATCAATCCGGCCTACATTTCATCACAATATCTAAAGTTTATTCCTGGAAGATAGAATCCAACTAAAACGTACACCTCATTGTCAATTTGTCATAAACACAACGTTTCTTTCTAATCTTGGGTTATTCGGATGGGGCTACTTACCTACACCAGATTTGCGCCTTCCAATAGAGCGATTCCTGAAAGAAATCAAAGAACCACAAATGATTTTTAATAACACTCATGACTTACCGGTAAAGAATTAAAAATGCAGCACACAAAATCCACCCCATTGTTTACCGCTGGTTGGGAGGTGCATATCGCTTAACAGTAACAATGCTGGCGGTGACTGTCGAACCCGTGGAAGGAATTTCAAGCATCTTTTTCTTCTCTTCAGGAAAAATCCCACCCGCCACTGCCACCTTCGTCGGCGATGTATCTGTGGTAATAAACAACCCATCATTTACTGCTATTATAAAGACATATAGGTATACATTTAGATAGAGACTAGTCCAACGAACCGTAGATCAGGAAGGTTCTGTTTCCCGTCGATGAGCACCGGAGTCGGAAATAAGGTGGGAGAGAGCGGGTTGGCGACGGAAGAGTTTGACTCCACGGATGCGTTGTGCCACTTGTGCGTTGATAATTGATTCTGCTTCCAGAATACTACGGATCATTTTACCCACGCGCTATACATTGGAATTTTGATTGTTTGTTAGGTTAGGACTTAGGAAAATCAGATAACACTCCAATGGGTTAAATCGGATAATTCAGTTAAAATAACTGGATTGTTCTCTTCAATTATGAAAAATTATACTAGCTATGTCATTAATTATTTTGTAAAGTTAACATTTTTGAATAATAAATTTTAAAGTTAAATCATATCTATTAATAAACAATTCAATTACAATAATTAAAATTTACATGTTGAGAAAGTGATTAAAATTCTTATAAAGTTACAAAATCTAAATTAAAATTTAATTAAGAATTGATATTACAATTATGTGAAATAAATGAGTCTGTCTGACAATCAATTGATATCATAAACTTTGACACTGCGAGGTTAATTTTACAACTCAAATGGGAACGGAGAGAATATTTAAAATATCCTTAAATTGATAAAATAATGAAAAAAATGTTTGAGAATAGTTACAATGATTCTCTACCGTAACTTATTTAATGTAGTCATAAAAGTAACTTCAACCTTATTTATTTTGATTACTACACAACTCACCCCGCGAAATAAAAATTTATGTTTTTCGTGAAAAATTGGCCGATAACGCACATAAACCGAAAAGCGGTGTCACAAAGCGGGATCTAGTTTTAATTCTATATAAAATTTACATAGAACATCAAATTCAGTTGTTATATCGTGAGAAACAGCCCATGCCATATATTATACGCTCACACCTAAAATGACGCCATTTAGATTTAAACTTTGATACTTAGTAATTATAATTTTATACTCTCACAATAACCATTTTCTTGAAATGTAAACCGAATTACTTTGAACTATAATCTCAGGTTAGCAGCAAATGTAACCTGAGATGGGTTGTTACATTTTGGTCTACGGTTCGTTGGACTAGTAAAATGAGAGAGTGAACTGATCGGAAAACACATGTGTATTGATGGAGTATATGGCCCGGGAACCCCCGGCCCACAGACTCCTACTACTCCAGCAAAGGCCCAACAGGCCCAACAGGCCCAAATCACAGCGCCCGGAGTACCAAGCAGTCCGCACAACGCATAGGGGTGCCTTCGGCCCCCTGGCCGAAGGCTTTAAATTCTCACAGAGCGGGTTTCTCAAGCAAACTAAGAAACTGGGAGAAAACGGCGAAAACAGTAGCCCTCGGCACTGTGAGCCCTCAGCACCAGGGGGGCCATCGGGTGTAAGAGCCCTCGGCTACCGCTTTATAGCCGAAGGCATCTCACTCGACAAGATATCCGCCTCACATGCGTACAGATCACCGTACCCCGCGCAGATGTCCCATCCAACAGCCGCATTAAATGCGGCCACATGCGGCTGCCAGCGCCAACCAGTTGAGGTGACCCCTCGGCCAATGGGCGCTTGACACGTGTCCCTGCCCGGCATTTATTGCTACTATAAATAGCACCCCATTTCCCCATTTGTAACCACGCTGAATACATATCGAATATACACTCTCTCTCTTACTTGCTCTGACTTCTCTCTAAGTTATTCCCCGTAATAACCCTTCGGATATATACCCCCGGGTAGACCATCCATCATTTGGTGCTCTCGTTGAGAGGTTGAACAATCGAGTAAGAAACCCTCCCCCTCGACCAAACACAAAACACTAGCCCTCTATCAAAATGGTGAGGACAACGTGTGCCAACTCAAAGAACGTAGAAGACAAGAACCTGCCCCTCGGCGACGTCAACGCCCCCGAAGCCTCTCACAGGGCTCCCGAGGGCGGTGTCCTCGCTGGGCTGGAACAGGCGGCTGTCGACCTACGCCTTCAGATCCAACAAAACGTCCCCGATGCCCGCCTCGGCATCGAGGCCGAGAAGAAAAACCGGAGCGATGACCAAGTCAGCCCTCCGGTTCTCACCATCGACGTACAATCGGCGCTCTCCGCCTTCATCCAAACGCTCACCCAGAACCCGGGTGCCTTCGGCACCCTGGCTCCAGCTCACCCTCAGATCGGGGAAAATATCATACTTCCCCCCTGCCACACCCCTTCGGAAATCCCACCCCTCGGGTGAGAAACGACGAAGGGGTGGTGGCCCAAGAAACATCCTCCCAGGAAGTTCAATCCCGGGACCCCCATAATGACAACAGGGAGAGGCCCCGTACTTCCGCCCTCAACCGGCTCGGAGGAGGGCCAGACCGCCGAGGGGTCCAAGACCGCCTCGGGGGGAAAGCACTCCAAAGGCCCCAGGAAAGCGGGGGATCTGTTTCGAGGGCAGACGAGGAGCGTCCCCCTCGGGACAAAGGCAAGGCACCCCTTCATGCCAATGATGCTCGGCACCAAATCAACCAGGCCCACTCGGCCCGGGTTCGTTCGCAGGGGGCGGAGACCCTCCCGAGGGACCCCCGGGACGAGATTATTGCGGCCCTCCAACGCCGGCTTGACGAGATGGAGTCCAACAAAGCTCACGCCACCACCTCCACCCCTCACTCAGACCTCAAATACGAGGCCATGATGGCCAAAATGGAGGAATTACAGAAGAAGGTGGCCGAGGGCTCCGGGGAACCCGTCATCCAGCTCCGGACTCGGACGCCATTTACCCCAAGGGTATTGGCGGCCCGGATCCCGGAAAAATACCGAGGGCAACACATACAGCCCTACAGCGGGAAAACGGACCCCCAGGAACATTACAGCAAGTACCAGAACAGCATGATGATGGTGGGGGCATCAGACGAATATTTGTGTCGTTGGTTCCTCTCCACCTTAGAGGGACCAGCATACGAATGGTTCAACAGGCTGCCCGAGGGCTGCATTGATTCGTGGCAAGAACTCGCCCAGCGATTCTTGACACAATTTGCCGGGAGACGTCGCACAAGGAAGCACTTCTCCCACCTCCTAACAATACGCCAAAAGAAGGATGAGACCCTTCGGGATTTCCTAGAGCGCTGGAGGACGGAGGCCGACAAGGTCGACGGTGCTGATGACGGGACCCTCCTGGCCCTCCTACAAACCGTCCTCCGCACCGGCAACTTTTCAAGGAGCCTCATCATTGAACCCCCCCCGCGACTACATAAGGGCCTTGCAGCGGGGGGACCGATATGCTGAGGCCGAGGAGGTGGAGAAGTATCACCAGCATCCGGACCAGCAGCCCCCGAGGGCTGACAACAAACACAACCGAGGGCCGGGGGCTCCTCCAAATCGCCCCAAGGCTTCGGGACCCTCTGATGACCGCCCTCGGCAAGGCCAAGCCAAGCCCGGGGGAGGTTATAGGAGCAACCCTAAGACTTGGGCCCAGCCCATTCTCCTGGACCGCCCTCGGACCCCATTGACGCACCCCGTCAGCATCATCCTCGATTTTGCAGAGGAGAGGGGCCTCGTTGAGCGCGATTCTCGCGCACCCCCGGAGGTACACGCTATCAACCCTCAGTTCCCCTACTGTCGCTTCCATCGACACCAGGGGAACAGGACCGATGACTGCCATCAACTGAAGACGGCCATCGAGAGATTAATACAGGCAGGGCACCTGTCCCAGTTTGTCCAGAGCCCTCGGCAGGAGGGACCTTCTCATCAGGGACCTCCCCGAGGGCACCATACGAAGGTAAATGCCTGGGTGAATCCGAACACCATCCCCCTCGGCAAGAAGAGGGAGATCGGAAACTTGGAAGAAGAGGAGGAGGAGTACCCCCACTACCAGGAGAAGAAACGCCACATCCTCATGATCACCGGTGGCAATACAGGGGGCGATTCCACCAGCCAGCGGAAGAAGTGGGCTCAATCGCTTTACGTAGGGGAAGTCACTCATATGCCCCCGGTAAAGCGATTGAGGGAGGAACCCATCACCTTCACCAACGCAGATCTCCCTCCTACTTCTTCTCCTCACAGGGATGCCTTGGTGATTCGGACAGAGATCAACGACACCATCATTCACCGAACTTACGTTGACACGGGCAGCTCCGTCAATGTAATGTACCTCAGTACCTTCAGAGAGCTGCATCTGGAGAGGGGGTCCCTTCGGCCCATCAAAACCCCTCTTGCCGGCTTCACCGGCGACACTATTGATTCCGAGGGGGTGATAACCCTCCCGGTGATCTTCGGCGACGGGCTCCATAGAGCCCAGCTCGAGGTGGAGTTCGTCGTCGTCAACATTGACTGCGCTCACAACATCATCCTTGGCCGGCCAGCCCTCGAGGACCTCGAAGCCATCATCTCCATGAGGCATCTTTGCCTCAAGTTTCCCGCCGAGGGGGGCATAGGCTACTCCCGGGGGAACCAAAAAATTGCCCGCGCCTGCTATCTCCAGGTCACTAAGAAGGTCAGCAAGACGGAATTCCGTGTTGACACCATCACCGGAGCTGTCGACCAAGAGGAAAGAAGGCCGAGGGCTGAACCGGCCGAGGACGTAGAAGACTTTGCGCTCGATCCGGCCCAGCCGGAGAGAGTCGTGAAGATTGGAGCCCAGCTCCCTGAAGATTTGAAGACCGGCATCACCGACGCCCTCCGCGCCTACTCCACTGTCTTTGCATGGGGGCCGGAGGACATGCCGGGAATCAGCCGAAGGGTCATCACCCATCGCCTCTCGGTGGACCCTTCGGCAAAGGCAGTGCAACAACGAAGAAGACCCCTCTCCGCCGAGAGAAGGGAATTTGTGAAGGAGGAGGTCGCCATGCTCCTCTCTATTAAGCACATCAAGGAGGTAAAATACCCCTCATGGCTAGCGAATGTAGTCCTCGCACAGAAGCCCCCTACCTTCCGCATGTGCGTGGACTACACCGATCTCAACAAAGCATGCCCTATGGATCCATTCCCCCTACCAAACATTGATCAATTGGTGGATGAGACCGCAGGGTGTGAGATCATGTCCTTCCTCGATGCCTTCCGAGGGTACCATCAAATTTTCATGCACGAGGAGGACGCCGAAAAAACTGCCTTCATGACTCCCGAGGGCATCTTCTGCTACCTAGTGATGGCCTTCGGCCTAAAGAACTCGGGGGCCACTTACACCCGGATGGTGGCCCGGGTCTTTCAAGCCGTCCTAGGGCGCACCATGGAGGCCTATGTTGACGACATGATCGTCAAGAGCAAACAATCTTCCAGCCATGC